AGACTGGCTACTCTGCATTGTGCTCGAGGCTGACAAGATTGGTTTCAACCAAATCAAGGTCACCAATGAGCCTCTTAGCACGTCTCTCCGCTGAGTCCAATGCTGCCAGGTGGCATTTTGCAGCACCAGCCCATATGTGACAGCAGTACTCCATGCACGACCGGACTTGCGCTTTATAGAAGGTAAGAAGCTGCCCCGGCATGAAGTACTGCCGCACCCTTGCAAGCACACCAAGTTTCCTTGCGGCTGCTTTGGCTCTGGACTCAATGAACCGCCCATAGTTTACGTTCGGAGAAAATTAAATACCTAACAACTGAAGGCGGTCAGTGTACTTCAAGGATACATTCCGGAAAGTAGGAGCCAAGGTGGGCGGGCTCCTTTTAGCGGTAAAAAGACACGCTTGTGTTTTAGAGGCATTCAATCTCACGAGATTGGCATCGCCCCATTCGGAGACTGCCTGTAGTACTTTGGAATAGTTCTATGCTTACGCCATCAAGTCTTTAAAGTGAAAGTGATTCTGAGTACAGATTTGTTTCCACAGGAGAAGAATAGTCCGACCGAGTTACATTTCTGCTCAACTTTACCTTCTTAATTTTTGCAGTCCATTTGACGTTTTCCCATTTTAAAAGCGGTCCATCCGTGGGTTTTATTGTCTTTTCAATAGAGATATCCCGCATTGCCTTAAACATTTTAAATTTTTAGTGATCAATTCTGTTTAATATTTTTTACATACTCTTTCTGATTCTTTTTCTGTTCTTATTCGGGTAACTGCTCAAACTTATGACACCAGCATTGGCCTTTTCTCGGCTTGTGACATCTACATTTTTCTCCAGGATCAATTATTTGTTTGAAGTCTTGCAGATAGAATCCTTGTTATTATCCAATGTTGTTAATATAACTTATAGAAACAGCCTTTTCTTGATGCCTTTGACTAATGGACTTTACTGATTCTGTCATTCCTATTTGAAAAGACTGTTGTGCGTTGTCCATTGCGTTTGGTGGAGAGAGATGAATATAAGATAATGATGTAATTGGTGATATTGGGGAAGTCTGAATTTCAATATAGGACCCCACCCATGGAATGATATGAGGTAGCAGATAATCTTACACTGCATGATAAATTAAAATAGAATATTATAAAACATTCGTTTTTATTTTATATACCAATATTTAAAAAAAAACCATTTGTTGATGCTTTACAACGTATATTAACTAAAACATTTTACCACCTTAACCATTAGGTAACATGACTAAAACACCTAACTATAAGTTAGTCACCTAAAAAAGGCCTTCCCTATATATCTTCATAGGATGACTTTTGACATAGCTGCCACGCCTGCGTGAAAATATGCGTTCTACTGATTGGCCACCGCAGTTTTTCATTATTTCAAGTTGTCATCAGGAAAGTGCTGCTGCAACATCTGTTGTATTATTGCTTACGACGCGGGGTAGTATCATCCAGTGTTTAGACAAAATCTCTTGTACGCCACAACTTGCCGCACTCAAGCCACTAACTTAGTGAGACATGCAGGAAATCGCGGGAGTTGGCTGTTTTAGAACCGTGTTTTGTAGTACAAAACCTAAGTGGAAACCTTTTCCTTTCGGAGGTCTGTGTTCAGCACAGAGCTTGTGATGGATTGGTATGTTTAAACATTATGATATTATTAGTGATATCAGTATTACACTTTGTGTTAGTAGCATCTTCACTTATTGCTGTCGAAATCCAAAGAGTTTATTGACTGTGTAATAAAATCGTCGATGCGCCGGTGAATACGGAATGATGATTCTGATTTTACGCTGTTTCCGCCCGTAATTTTTAGTTACAGAATGTATTTTCCAGAGAAATGAATTAATAATCTTAATTATTAAAAAACATTTTTTTATAGTAACAAATAAGTTTGTTATATGAAATTAAGTGCTGTGAATATAAATAAACCTATAACGGGGGAAAGGGGACAATACCTGGTAACCCAGGGATAGTACCTCCCGCCTATTTCTATCTCAAAAGCATACGCGAATCGTAGACAGAGAAAAATATAGATCTCTATTCTCTGGCTACGACGCGAATGCTTTATATAGTTATAGTGCCACCAACTTATCTGTTCAGTTGACAGAGTCGCTAGTGGAGTGCTTACTATTGCCATTTAAGAAATTTACCGAGGAAATAGGTGACTACATATTCATTACACATAATATAAAATAAAACAAATTTCGTGTTAATATATATATATATATATATATATATATATATATATATATATATATAATTTATATTTTATAAAAATAATTGTGGTCGTGGTCTCGGAGTTCAAGCGGTCGAACTCCAGGAATTCCTGTTTTGAAAGATGTACCCGCGTTAGATACTGGTTCCAATAATTCATCTTCTGAGTCACTGGAATCGGTTTCGCTATCGCTCTGACACTCTATAATAAAGGGTTCATCTAAATACGCGTCTTTTAGTCTGTATTCATTTTCAATTTTTTTCACATGATTGCATATGTTTTTCCACTGCACCGGTGTAATTTTATTAAATGCATCTTCAATTAATTGGGGCATTAGAACATTAGATTTTCCAACATTTTTGTCTGCTATGTTCCTTTTCATAGAGCTCCATATCATTTCAATTGCATTCAAGTCGCAATGATAAGGCGGCAATCTAAGAATAGCATGGCCATGACTTTTCATCAGGTTATCAATTTCGTATTCCGGAGCAGGTTTATTTCTCTTTATTAATTCATAAAGCTGAGGTTTTGTCATTTGTTCATTGAAACTTACATTGTTTTTTTCAAGCCACTTCTGCATATCAGCCTTACTGTGGTTTGAATTAGGACACCTATTTACGCAAATACTATGGTATGGCGCATTATCCATTACAATGAGCGAAGGTTCATGCAGATTAGGTAGTAATTTTTCATATACCCATTTTTTGAAATTAATGCTATTCATTTCATCATGGTAGTCCCCATATTTTGTATTTGATTTAAATACGAGAAGGGCATTCTCCACAAAACCTTTTTCTCCACCTGCATGGATTATGATCCACCTATTACCTTTCGAAACAGGTTCCAAATCACCATCTTCTTCAGGACCTTGCCAACATTTCCCAGTTGAGTGAGACGAGTGAATGTAAGTTTCGTCTAAATAAATAACAGGTCTTTTTTCACCACGCTCATTTTCTTTAATTTTTTGTAGGTAGGTTGCTCTCCATGCAACTACGTCGTTACGTTCGCACAACACTTTTCTATTTGATTTCGTTTTCTTATAACGAAATCCTATTTTGTGAAGCAATTTTCGAAGAGTTTCACGTTCTCCTTTGAAATCAATATCTTCCTTTAAAATACTCAGTAATTTGGGTATGGTAGGGATTTCTTTTTTCACTGAATAAAATTCGTGAATTTTTCTTCTTATAACACCAATGTCAAAATTATCAACTTCTTGCTTCCCGGTTTTTCTTTGCCTTTTTTTGCCAGGGGTAGAAATTTTAGAATTGGATTCTTCAGCGTGTTTCTCTTCATTTACGAGTTTGTGTACAAATCGCTCAGAAACACCTGTAACGAAACGACAAATAATTATTGTATAGGTAAAATTAAATAAATGTAAGCCCGTGTATATGCCGTCACTAAAGCTACTTCACAGACCACAAACTACAAAGCTAGGTACTTTAGACGAATTACAGTAAATTGAGATAATTTTTTTACTATGTTTTACAAGTACATTATTTGGTGATTTTAATTTTCCATATCTGGCAATACTAACCAGTCGCGGCAGCAACGCGCTCATACAGCTTTTCAAATGGTATAGTTGGGGCTTGTACACGTTTCTCTTCTTTCATAAAAGATAAAACTTTTAGGATAATCTGTCGCGCATCACTTTTAAGAGCTTTAGGCATTTTAATTGCACTTTTTAAAAACATTCACCTGATAGCTCAGAATAAATAATAACTGACAGCGAAATGTCATTTACAAAATGGCGGCATTAGTTCCAATTTTGTCCACCTGAACAGATAAGTTGGTGGCACTGTAATCCTCTATCCACGCCGCCATAGGAGTCGCTAGAGACTGTTTTATTGTTGGCTTGGATGCCTGTCTTTTGAGGCATGTCTTCATTTCATTTTATATCTTCGTTTTTTAGATTCTCAATATCAAGTGATAATGATACTTTATATTACACTGCTTTACAATATGTTGATGTCGTCGTCTCATTGCGTAGTTTTTGGGATATTCTGATGGTAACTTGAGCCAGCAGACAGTTATCGATAGTTTCCCAAAGTGCCTAAGCAGACAGACACCTTATATTGAGATTCACATAAGCATCGGAGCAATTGTGTCACCGCTTCGACTAATAGTTTACATGCACAGACATTTAATACACAAAATCTCACGTCGAAGTCAATGGATGCAGGTGCCTCAGGACCATGCTTTGTGGCATTCCTTAGGAGAGGCCTATGCTCAGCAGTGGACTTGAGAAGGGCTGTACTGATGATGATGATGATGAGACAGTAAGTACTAAATCCGTCAGATGTAACTAGAATGAGTTCATAATATGTGTGTTTTTAGTGAATGCTTTCATTATCGTTATCAACTCTTTACTGGATTAAGCTGTCGACAAAATCTCACAAGAACCTTGCCATGTGACGTATCATTAAATTGTCAACTTTTATGGATAAATTTATGGCATAACTTGAAGAGGCCTATGTTAAGCAGTGGTCTTGTGAAAGGCTGTAATGATGATGATGAAATACGATAAAATGTAAATCACATAAGACTGTATGGTCTAAAACCTTTGCTATCTTTTTATTAGCGAATCGTGATAACAAAACAACTATCTCTTGATCTCTTTGATTACCTACTAAAGTATGCTACATATATATTTATCTATGCTAAAGTACTAAAAGGGTGTAGAGGTTAGAACATAGAGAAAAGTTTGGTTGCCCATTTAAATATTTTAGATATATTAAATTTAACTGTTCTTACGAAAATTAACCAAAAAATTAATTGAATATGGAGAGTCTATCTACTGGTTCATTGAGTGGGGCTCAAAAAGAAGAACTTATGGATCAAGTGAAACAGCAAATCGCAATTGCAAACGCCCAAGAATTATTAACAAAAATGTCTGAAAAATGCTTTAAGAAATGTATTACCAAACCAGGTACTGCCCTGGATAGTTCAGAGCAAAAATGTATCGCAATGTGTATGGATCGGTATATGGATGCTTGGAACCTTGTCTCACGGACTTACAGCAGTCGTATTCAACGTGAAAGAAACAATATGTGAAAATGAAAATTGCATTTATATAGTGATAATTCAAAGCAGTGCTGTAAATACAGATGACTGTAGTTTCTGAACATGTTTCGATCACAAGTTATATGCTGCTGGTTAAATGTTATGTTATATAATAAAATATTTTAGGTTGTTGAACTCTTTTATTCTTTATCTTTTTTAATAATATTGAATACTTGAAATCTGCAGTAAAAATTATAAAACTTATTGGAATTAAACTCAACTTTAATTTTATGAAATATGTAGAGATAATTACATATAAAAGTTTTGTTTTTAATATTTGTTCTTTTTTTAATTTATATTTCCCCTTTAAGCATTTTTTTTCTATACTGGTATAGTTTCTTCACCCACATCTCTTTTAATTCTTCCTCACTAGGTATTGCCTGGAATAAAATCAATAATGTTCAAAAATATAGTTGATTAGTAATTAAAAATAAATTCTGTGGGTGTATCTGTAGTAATATTATGTTGATAACATGTGATTTTTTTAAAGCGATTAAAGAAACCATTATAAGAAGCCGATGACATAAGCCAATATGAATGGCGCTATTTCCCAGAGACCCTTATTTTTATTAACATGGTACTAAATTATGGCATGGAACACTTCATGGAGAACTGCTCTACGAAGGAGACTGCCACTCTATAGCTTTTTTCACATTGGTTGTTGGTTTGTCAAGCTATGACAATCATGTAACTATTCCATTGGGCTAGGCTAATTATGCCTTAGTTTGATGAAATTCAATACCTCTTGCACATACTGACTCAGGGCAACAAATACTGCTTTTATATTCAGATGGTACAATGTCTAATTTGTCATCAAATCCTAGTGTCTGAAGGCAAAACTATGAGGATTGGTGGGCTAGCTATCCCATTACAGAAGAAAGGATATTACAAAAGGGTAATGTTACCAAATACAAACAGGTTATAAGCAATGGACTAGGTAAGTCAAACTTTAACCAAGAGGTGCTGGCTGGACAAAAATTATAACATATTTCTCAAAACCTCAAAACAACAATGAACAACCAGTGCATGTTGCTAGTGATAGAACTGAGACAGGAAGCTTAAGGTCCCAAACGAGCCAAGGATATGGCCTGGAGTTTCTCTGTGTGATAGAATCCATAACAATAATATCTGCAACAGACCAGAGTAATCAACATAGCCCAATAGATCAGTAGGTGGAAGTGGCAATGGGTTAACTACAAAGCTTGATGAATCGACAACCAATGGGGCAAAAAGTTTCTAAAGTGGTAGCCTTGTACCACCAAGCAGAGTGTAGAATGGGCCTCCCCCTAGATGGAGTCTCCTGGTAAACAAAAACACTAAGGAAATAAAAATTAATGAACAATCACACTATACAAAAATACACAAGAATTATTTCCTATTAAAGTGGATTTAGACCAAACAAACAAATAGGGCTGGAACTACATCATTCTTTTTTAATCTATTAGAATAAAAAAAGCTGTTTTCAGAATTTACAACAAAGGGATACTAACAAGTACTACGGGTAGCAAAGGCTCTAGAGATGTTTAGATCAGGCAAAGGAGTGCTCATTGATCATTTAAGTCAATTCTGTGGTTGGAAGTAGACTCCATTATGTCTGACTCTGAAAGCAATATTGTAATTGCAAGTTCTGCATTTATCGTTCTGTTTTAACAACTTCAAAATAAAAGAAACAACAGCAATAGTAGCCTAATGACTGGTTGCAGACTGCAAACTCAAAAGTTGATGGGTTCGAATCGGCCATTAGACTACTGATGTGAACCATTCCTAACTCAAGCACCTTAAGCTTACATGTTGTTAAAGGGAATATTAGTACTGTTAAAAGCAATGCTCCTTTTTTTTTAAAAGAATTTAGATTATTGGGTGATAAATTCAATTAAAAGGAGACTGTATAATGTAATGGTAGTACAATGACAAATATGTAAAAACCAGAAAGTGGTTTTTACATATTTATCATTAAAATCAAAAAATACAATTTTTTTATATAACTTATAAGAAGATTTTGCCCTAAACAGGTTTTTGATAATTTACTGTCACTGATCAAGGAAACACTTAGGGAATTAGAAGGATATGATTCCTGCATCCCATATATGTACCTCTAGAATTATGATAGGTTTCTATCATTGGTATAAATATGGTATATGGTATGGTCATATGGTATATGGTATGGTCTTCTTAAGACCAATCCTTGATTATTGTGAATGTATTCTTTATTTATTTGATCAAGTGGCTAAAACAGAATATGAAAAGACCAGTCTGAGCAAAAGGAGCTTGTTTGCATGCTTGTGAATTATCAACATCATGCGAACAACCATTCTTAGTTCATTCCACAAAATCTCTGCAAATAAAGAGCTACAAAGAAATGCTCTATCCTTGTTTAAATGAAAAGAATTGGATAGAGTGGAGATAGAATAAGCATTTGTTTGTTTGGTCTAAATTGGCCTATAAAGTATTGAAATATAAATAAAATAACTGACCAAACAGAGGGGCTTTTTTACGTGGTAGAGCCATGCTGCAGCTATATTAGTAGTATAGTTGTAGCACGAATGGGTCGGCTCAACCGGGGAAGGACCACACTCTCACAGAATACCAATGTAAAATAGCTGCTTAACACTGCTGTGTTTAGTATGGTGAGAATAGAGAACTGCAGATCCATTTACTGGAAATGAGGCATTCCATTTTAGTCAAATAACAATGCATCTTCATTTTGATTCATAATTGTGGATAGATGTATATGTCTAAGGGCCACAGTAACCACTTACCATCAGGTGGTCTGTGTGCCGTTACTTTGGTCGCCACCGTAGCTACGAATAGCAGGGCTGCCGGGGACTGAGGGCTGTCTCTTTGTTACTCTCATCATAGGGGGGTATTTGCCATAGTTGCCACGCTTGTTATCAGGAAGATGTTGCTGCCCATCTCCTGCCTGTTTCCCTTTGTCGCCTTTTACGACACCCACGAGAAGATATGAGGTAGTGGATATTCTTAACCGCCACTACACAGCAATATTAAAAATACTATAGTATCAATAATATAGTATTCTGTGATAATAACCTTATCAAAAGTATTCATCTCAATATAAAAATTTCATGCTAATTATTTTCAACATAGTATCAACATCAGTATACTCAACCAAATCTACGAAATACCTTTTGACATTTCACATTAATTGTTCCACAATAACTTTGTACAAGCATAATTGTACAATTTAAAATAAATTTTTACACAAATCCAAAGAATTATGAAGTTATCTATAATTCATTACAACATATACAGTTTGTCACTAATTTAAATTCAAATGTTTCTAATAAAGCAGAATAAAAAAAAATGTCAATGTTTACATATTGTTTCAATGATATGTCGTTATGTAATTTACCATAGTGTTTGGATTATTTAAATTCATGCTAATGCAAAGAATCGGTAAAAATATTTAAATAATCAGAACTTTACATTTTTTAATTTATTATTTGTTTATTAAAAATTTTATTTTTAGAGTTGCATAAATTATATGAATCATGAATTATACAAGTCTATTTTTTTTATAATTTCTATGAATCCCACTGTGGCAAAGTTGCGATTAAGTTAGGAAGATGCCAGATTGTACAATGGTAGTATAGTCTTTGAGAACCATTTGTAAAGGCTTTGGCTTCAGATAATTTTTTTTTATTGACAAATGTAAAATAAATATTAACGACATGAATGCAAAGAATAACATTTTTATGAGAAATTAAAAATATATAATGAATTGCAACAATGTTATATTCATTAATGAGAAATAGCTTAACACCAACCACACTATGCTGCAGACATGGACAGATGACAAGTGCCCATGGACCTTGGCAAAGACATTGTGGCGGCGCTGTCGTCGCGCCACAAGCGAAACACATCGAAGCCTAAATCGCACTATCAAAGTTCCGAAATTAAAGCAGCATATATAGAATAGCTCCGAACTACCAATCGGAGCGTTGGCCGCTCCCCGGGCAGAACACCTTGCCCGGCGGGAGATCTCCCCTTTTCCTTCCACCCGCTATAGTGGTGACCAACCGACGTGATATGAACACGCAACCAACAACCTTCGGAAACTACAACTTCAAATCTTCGTCATCATCCTCAAGTACTCCATTCATTCGCTCCCGAGCAGATATTGTCTGCAGTCTTCCCATTCTGCAAGCCATCTAGCTTTACAAAGGTTCATCGCAGCATTGGAATAATAATGCTTCCTGTTCCTTCAAGCTACTCTCTGCGCTACAGTGTTCGGCACGGCTCTGAGCCTTACTGCTCGCCTCTGCTTCACGGCACTCTCGCAGATTACTTGCCTTCTTCTCGACTCACCGCAGACTACAAGGCAATCCCTGGCACTTGCTCCGGCTCATCGTTCTCACCGGCATCACTTGCAAGTGCGTAGTACGGCATGCATTACACACCGGTATATCATTCGCACCGGCGTCACTTGCCCTTACGCACACAGCATGCATTCCCCACCGGCATTTAAGGACGCACCGGCAATCGGACTGCACTCTCGACCTCCGGTCTGAGCAGGGGGGTGATGTGGCGGCGCTGTCGTCGCGCCACAAGCGAAACACATCGAAGCCTAAATCGCGCTATCAAAGTTCCGAAATTAAAGCAGCATATATAGAATAGCTCCGAACTACCAATCGGAGCGTTGGCCGCTCCCCGGGCAGAACACCTTGTCCGGCGGGAGATCTCCCCTTTTCCTTCCACCCGCTATAACATCATCATTTGCCATGAGGAATCCACCAGAGGAGAAAAATGTAATAGAAAATACAACTACTACACAAGGGATGATTGGGCCAGTGATGGAGAAAACAAAAAAAAATTGTTATGGACAATGAAAGAAAATCGAATAATCATTAATGTAAACAATGATGATGACAAAGACAGCTTAACTGTTGTGGTGGAAGTAATTAAATAATTTTGATTTAAATCTAGTGCAGTCTTTAATTTATATAACTTTATCTCTGGTAATTGGTGCAGTGGCTTAGCAATGAGTTGCTGCGCTGGGGGGCGGGGTTTGAACCCCGCACGGCACAAGTATTTGTATGACCTACAAATAATTGTTCCGGGTCTGGATGTTTGTCCTTGTGAAATTTGTGTTTGTAAACTGCCTCCACGATACAAGAGAAAAATCCTAGTGTGGGGGTAACGTTTTTAAAAAAAAGAAAAGAAAAATAAATTAGCAGTAAGCAATGAATATGAAAAAACTGATCAATTTTGTGTTTTGAATTATCTGTTTCTACTTTATTGTGGTATTAATCTAGATAAAACTGTAAATGATTAGCAACTCTAAAGAATCTATATCAATATCTCATGAGAATCTTGATATTATTATTATATATATGCAGGCAGACAGTTGAGACAACTGATAATGCCTGAATCCTGTTTTTGTCCACTAGTTACTCTTTTTCCTTCTCTCAGAAAGTAATTATCTAATCAATTTTTGAATTGGTTCACGTTTTGGGCTAACACTATGTTCTCTGGCGGCTTATTCCACTCGGTGATATAGATTAAGAGGCCCCTGAGGTGAGGGTTTTTATTACAAATAAACAATTTGTTAAACTCCTCAATGTCGTAATTACCATTTAAGATAATATCAATTCTTATGAGATATTGATATTGATTCTTCAATTATATATTAATAGAATATTGTAGATACTGATTTTTCAGATGAAATGCCAAGTATAATAAATGTGACAACTGTCAAAAGGTATTTCTTAGATTTGGTGGAGTATAAGTGACCAATAATACCTCACAACAAAACAAAACCAATAACTATCCAGAAATGTTGAGCCTCAGTTATCTCGAGTAATAATATTAGTAATTATTACCTACCACACCTGATTTTTTATAATATAAAAGTTAAAACTCACATCAAAATTTATAATATATTCATCATTTTGAACTTTAATTTCTGATTCAGGGACTTTTATAGTTTCTGCATTTAGATCTATAACAATATTCTGTGACTGTTTTTTGCTTCTAGATGATGTGAAGGATTTCTGAATAAAAGTATCACTATTTAATTCAGCAATCAAGTTTCTATCATGAATCGTTGGCATGTCAGCTTTCACTTCCACATCTTTGTAATCATATGAGGGAATTTTTGTCATAGTCAAACCAACAGCTTCTGCAGCTTTAATTGCCTTTTCTACTTTTGTTTCTGTATCATCTAAGTTTGTCCTTCCGGATTTTATGGGACGTTCTGAAAATAATCCAGATATATTAGTTTTGGGCACTGATGATCACTGATTAGTGTGTGAAAGTGATGAGGGAATGATATTTATTATCATTGATATGAATTATTACAGTTATACTATATAATATAGTTTAACTACTGCAAACACTAACAGCCTTACTTTTAATAATTGATTATTGCTTACTTACTAACTTTATTTCAAGCTGTGAGGTATTCCAGCAGCCTTCAGAGGTGAGAATGAATGTATAGATTTCTATGTTTGAAATTGACTGCAAGTGTCTATGGACTGCAGTAGCTACATAAAAAAAACAGACCAGAAACCGACCAGAGGGGAAGCTACATACAAACAGCCCGCTGCTGGTACACCCATACATAACGCAACAATGTGTGCATGAGTTCTCATGGACAGGTTCACCGATGCTCCATCTGGGTACGAACGGGTTTGTGCTGGCTCAGTTGGATGAATTAAAGGGCTGTTGGTCATGCTCATAGTCTGAGAGCTGGTGACGAATTTTGGGAAGGTCCTTTTGGCAAGTTGAAATTGGGGAAAAATATAATTTTGTCAACAGGCAAATCCAGTCCTGTGAGTCTGGTTTGCGGTTATTTCATTACAGCGCAGCATATAACAGTTTTCAAAAATATATATCCAAAGAAACATTTTTTTGGCAACTTGATTTCTTTTTTATATTTTAACTTAGTTTTTATATAATTCAATAAAAAATTATCCCAGATGTTTTGTCGATTATAAAGTATTTGGGATTTTTAATGAAATATTTTTGGAGAGGTCTCCAAACATATTTTATTAAAAATCCCAAAAACTATACTTTTGGCAATCTCAAATTTTAATAACATATTTATTAATTAATTTTTAATTAATAAATTGCCAGACTAATTTAGCTGTTTTAAACTATTCCCAGATGTGAATATAGCTTACAAATGAATATGACAAAAAGTCTAATGCGCAGCCATAAGTACAAGAAAGATAGCTTATTAAAGCAAGTCCGCCGCTAATAGGGATCTAAGTTACTCGCGCTGTGATTGGTTATTGCAAAAACGTGTGTTTGCAGTATAGTTCCGACTCTGCTTTCACAACAGTATATACTCTTCTTCCATGCCGGATTAATATTGGCCCACAGCCACTTTACTACCGAGCCACAGCCGTCGGTCTATTATCACATATTTGAATTTATGGGAATCTGGTGTATAAGCACTTAATACTTTTTATAAAAATATTTGTCTTAAAAAAAATTATTAAATTTTACTAACCTATGTCAAAAGAGCTGTGACTGCTTGACGAATGTGATCTTCTTCTATGCTTTTTACTGTTTTTGGAATATTTTGATCTACTCCGGGAACTTGATCTCGAGCGAGAACGTTCTCTAGATATTGTTCGTCTTGAACGCTTTGATCGTGAGCGTGATGACGATCGCTTACTGGATTTTGTTTCGTACCGTTCCTTTGAAAGACTACGTGAGTAGCTTCTTCTCTTGTGCTTTGAACGTGAGGTCGATCGTTTTCTTCTATGGCTATTAGACTCTGAACGATCCCTTGAACGTGAACGTTTTTTATGTTTTGTTTTGGATTTTTTACGTTCGTATGATGAGTCTGAGCTATAAGAAGAACTCCGTTTATCTCGGTAACGACTTTTGTCTCGCGGCATATCCACAGGTTAGTTTATTCATTCATTTATTTTATTAATTTATTTAATTAGGCGTAGACTAAACAAATTCTTATAATTGAAAAATATTATTTATCATATTTTTTGGCTTCACAGTTGGTGACTTGGTGTTTGGTGAAAAAAAAAACTGACAGACAGTGTAACCAAATCTTTAAAATACAGATCCTGCCATACTTTGGTTAAAAACCTGCCAAATTCTGCCAAAATTTGTAGTAAAAAATGCCTAAATACTGCCAATTTTATTTACCATTGTATTAAACTAAGAAAAGTCAAAATACACATATAAATGCTATATTTTTTTAAATTAAAATTAAACATATCTTTCGTTGGTTCGAATGCAATGCAATCGCCATGCTCACAAATGCCTTGTTTAACGTACAAGATAGACACTAAGGCCGGTCACATACATACGGAATTCCGTTTCGAGATTCCGTTTCGATATTCCGATTCGGAATCCCGAACGCAGCAAGTCCATATAAAATCTATGACCCGCCACACACGTACGGTAGTTTTCCGTTCGATATTTTGCGGGCAAAACGGGATTCCGTTTGTGTGTGGCCGACCAATTCGAAATTCCGAAACGGAATTCCGTATGTATATGGCGGGCCTAAGGCCGGCCACATACATACGGAATTCCGTTTCGAGATTCCGTTTCGATATTCCGATTCGGAATCCCAAACGCAGCAAGTCCATATAAAATCTATCACCCGCCACACACGTACGGTAGTTTTCCGTTCGATATTTTGCGGGCAAAACGGGATTCTGTTTGTGTGTGGCCGACCGTTCGGAATTCCGAAACGGAATATCGAAACGGAATTCCGTATGTATATGGCGGGCCTAAGGCCGGCCACATACATACGGAATTCCGTTTCGAGATTCCGTTTCGATATTTCGATTCGGGATTCCGAACGCAGCAAGTCCATATAAAATCTATGACCCGCCACACACGTACGTTATTTTTCCGTAGGGAATTTCTCCGATTCGAGATTCCGTATGACCGCCTGTGCGTTCGGGATCCTGAACGGAAAAAAGCCACTCCGAACGCACGTCTTCCATAGATTTTGTACGAGTCGCAACACACATACGTAAATTCCGTACGGAATGCGCTCAGTGTTCGTCGCACGACCGAAGCGAGTAGGTGTATTTATGTATGTTTTTACATTTAATCTTGTAGGTGTATAGCTTTTCGTAACCTTTCATCTTCTTTTATTTAATAATTCGTCGATAGAATTTACATACATAAATATTTAAAAAATATCTCTGGATAGATAGATCTTTTTACATAGTATTGACTATATTGCAAGCTTAGGGTGATAAGGGGATGCACCTAGTAAGAATGATACAGCAACAATGGAATTTGCAATTAGAAAATCGTCGTCATTATTCGCTGGCAGAATGTCTAGACTCAATGGTTAACGTCTCTCAACTGACCCTTGTTATTCCGAACGGAAAAAAACGTGTGTGTATGATGTATTCACGGAATCCCGAATCCGGATTCCGAAACGGAATTCCGTATGTATATGGCCGGCCTAAATGTTTGTTTATAAATCTGTTTCGTGTTTTTGTCTTAATTAAATTTATTTGAGAGAATATTCTTTCGCATGTTGAAACCACTCATATGCTTTTGATGTTTACCAGTAGCGGCATGCTCCTTTAAGCGCACACACGGGGTGCCAATTTGCAGTTACACAGTCTGGATCATCTTTAGCTTTGGAGATCCATGATGAAAATAAAAGATCTTGCTTCCACTTCGCTCTATATGCCCTTTCATATTTTCGCTTCATCACCGCCACCTATAATTACTATCGTCCACGAAATAATATTAACGAGATGTTATCACTATGAAATCTTATTCTATACCAAAGAGTATAATAAGTATATACAGGAATGGTTCTATACCAAACTAAAGTACATTTCTTTTATGACTAATTTAAATATTAACCAACTCGTGTTAAGATTATCAACTTTATAACAATTTTTTTAAAGTTGTTTATTGAATGCATAGATCTTATATCAATGATTGAATGTGATACAAACATAACGGCGGCTCTTCACGTTAGCCAACACACTGGCGAATGTGTTGGCCAACAACGATGGCCATCATGTAGAGCGGGTGTTTAAGCTACGTTGATACGTATTGGAACGATGGCCCACAAGTTGGCGCGAGATCCGTCTGGTGTCGGTTTTTTACAAAAGATCAAAGGGTTGTGGCAGAGTATTGGCCGCCGCGTCCACACGTTGGGCGCACGTTCAGTTTGCTACGAGCTATCAGAGTAATCACACGCACCTGATTTAAATTTTATATGCACGCATCTCTACATAACGGCAGTAACAATGACCAATGAAAAAACTTTTCGCTTTATAGAGCCCTACCAAGCCGAAAATTGTTTGTGAAACACAAGTCTTTTTAAAAAAAACGTTACCCCCACACTAGGATTTTCTCCTGTATCGTGGAGGCAGTTTAGTAACATAAATTGCATAAGGACAAACATCCAGACCCGGAGCAATTATTTGCAGGCTATACAAATACTTGTTCCGTGCGGGATTCGAACTCGCGGCCTCCAGCGCAGCAACTCATTGCTAAGCCGCACGGAGCCGCCAAGAAATAAAATTTCTTTTTTTTCATTTCTTTTTGATCACCCTTTTCTTATACACATTCACGTTGTAGTGATTGATGTATTAATTTATTTATTGATGTATTAATTGATTTATTAATGCTAGGAGACTAGGTAAGATATTAAAATCAAATTAAAAGTTAGGATACTAAAATCATGTTTTACTGTCTTTATTATTCCCTATTAACTAGGTACTTTATTTCCTTAATAATACTGTAATTTTTAGCTATGGAAGAGCGAAGTCACCTGTTACAGACATTATTTTGCTTACTAGGTGACCTCGATCACTGATCATATAATGTAACTTTAATGTTTGACGAAATATATTATTTATTATTATTATTATTAAGTTCGCCATATGTACTACTTTGTGCATGAAAGTGTAAATAAATAAATATATTCTATAATTATATAATAACCCTTTTTTTAAAAAGGTTTTGTTTAATAAAAAATTTACAACAGTTTCATAGACAGGCTTCGAATATTTTCCAGGCCTTAGTTAATAATACCTATGCCTAGGTGTGTTAATGTTTATATAGTTTACTTATCTGTATAACGTTAGTGTATAATAAAGAAATATTAAAAATTTATATTAAAAATATTAAATATCAAAAATAGTGGAAATTAAATAAAAAATAGTGGTATGCTGTGAATAAATAAACCGCAACAGCCGTTAGCGCTTCAATAATCATTTTAATAAATTCGTCCCCACATTGGCCTGAACCGAAGCAAACTGAACGACCTTCCAACGTGTGGACGCGATCACAAATTCTTGACCAGTATCTCTGCCAACACATTCGCCACTGTGTTGGCCAACGTGAAGAGTCGCCGTAATACGAGAGATCGAGAAATACAGGGAAATCCCCAACATGCTGGCAAGGTATCTAGGGTTGCCATTTTCGTCATTTTAAGTTGCCATAATGAAATATATTTTTAATACCCCAATCCTGCCAAATACTGCCAGATTTTAAAAACGTCAACCGATCATGCCACAGGCTAAACTAAGAGGCCAATTTTGACAAAATGGCAGGAACCTGCACAAATGGTCACACTGCTGACAGAATGCTTGTTGTTATTGTTGTTTTTATTATTCGCTCGAGAGAGCAGACAAAGGAACTAAGCCATACAGCCTTGTCTTTTTTATTTTGAATATTCCTTCATAGTTCACTGCTTCACAATATGTTGATGTGTCACATTGTGCAGCCCTTGGGAGATTTTGACGGCAACTTGAGTCAGCAGACAGCTGACAGTTGGCGATGGTATCTAAAGGCGCTTATGCAGACAAACAGCTTATCTTGAGAATCCATCACCATCAGAGCACTTGTTTCACTGTTTCCACTAATAGTTCACATGCGTAGACAGTTAAGACATAAAATCGCACCACTTTTACATATCAAAATGCATTTCAAACTATTATTTAAACTATAATACAGGAGCAGCAAACCGCCGCCGGTCAAGTTCCCGCAAAAAACTCCACTGACAATGTGACAGTGACAGGCTTTGCCAATGGATGCAGGCATGGTAAAGGCCTCAGCCTCAGACCATACAGCCTTATCTTATATGTATTATATTTAGAAAATTCTTTACAATAATAAACTAATACGTGGTAGAGCCACGCTGCGTCTTTATTATGGTTGTACGAATGGGTCGGCTCGACCGGGGAAGGACCACGCTCTCACAGAATACCAGCGTAAAATCGCAGCTTAACGCTGCTGTTTCGTATGGTGAGTGTAGAGAACCGGAGACCCTTTTAAGGAAACGAGGCATTCCATCTTAGTCCTCACGGGTGACAACGCATCTGCATTTTGATTCGTAAACGAAGATAGATGTAGATGTCTATGGGCCACAACCACCACTTACCATCAGGTGTACTTTGTGCTCGTTTGTCACCCTTATCCTATAAAAAAAACTGTTAAGAACCTTTTTGGCATAAAGATTTTTTCTGTCACCAGGATTAACCACTTTGAAATGAGGTAAAATATTTGAAAAAATCATGGCGGGTGAAATTTGTTAGGAAAATGCCCTTACATTTTCCTAATTATGTTTTTTTCTGTAAGTAATGTTAGTTATATTTCAAAGAATATTCCTAAAAGTTAAAAAAATTAAAATTGTGCAAGAAATTAAAAAGTAAACCACTGCTTCGAGTATATATTCTGTGGTAATGAAGTTTTATTTTTTTATTAATATTAGCACGTTAAATTTGAAATATCAACTAAATAATGGATAAGTTTACATAGATTTGAAACGGCGCTTTACAATATTATAGCGAAAACTAAAAAAAATTGTTCAATGTTTTAAAATCAAATGCTTGTTTTTAGTCAATACTCAAAATAATAGCATGGCACATAAAAAATTTATAAAAAGGAA